TGCTACTCAACTGGCTTTAGATAAGCCAGCCCTTTGTTAGTATATAAGTGCTTTGTTAATAGTTCTATCGCTCGAAGTGGAGTCGAAAGAGATGAGTTTTCAGTCTGGAAGGTGTGTAAGCTTTCTGCTGTCCTGATGTCAATGGGAGCTCATTCCACCATTTTGGAGCCAGGATAGCAAACCCACGTGTTTTTGCTGATGGGAACTTGGGTCCCCTTCGCAGTGAGGGTGCAACGAACCGTTTGGTTGATGTAGAGCGGAGTGCACGCGCTGGGGTGTACGGTTTAACCATGTCCTGGATGTAGGAAGAGCCAGATCCATTCGCAGCATGGTACGCAAATGATAGCAGTTACCAGAAGCCAGTGGAGGGAGTGGAGGGAGCGGAGGAGCGGCATGGTGTGGGAGAATTTAGGAAGGTTGAAGACCAGACGAGCCGCTGCATTCTGGATGAGCTGCAGAGGTTGGATGGCACATGCAGGTAGACCAGCCAGGAGGGAGTTGCAGTAGTCTAGGCGTGAGATGACGAGAGCCTGGACCAGAACCTGCGTCGCTTTCTGGGTCAGCTGGGGACGCATCCTCCTGATGTTGTAAAGCGTGTATCTGCAGCAGCGGGTTGTAGCAGCTATGTTTGCCGTAAAGGACAGGTTGTTATCTAGGGTCACACCCAGATTCACACACAATTCAATGTAGTTTGACCATTGCAGACATACTGATAAAATAGGGCTTATATAATTACCTTATATAAACTCACTAATTAATTAAACCAGTTCAATACGCATTATTCGTATTCGTATCATTCTTTATGAGCGCAGTAACGGTAAGGTATCTAATTACTTATTTATTTCGTATTCCATAACTTAATAACAGAGATGGTCAAACTAAAGTAGAGCCATGGCAGAAATCCTACAATAAAGCGGACAGCGAAGTGTTCTTCCGAATGTGAGAGAGGGCGATCAAGAAAAGAGAGCGAGCGGCGCATTGAGGGAGTTTACCATGGATGTTTAATAGTAGTTTACAGAGCAGATGAAAAGACACAGAAAGACAGAAGCACAATAACAAGTATATGTAGGTGTTTTTTTGTAAATAACCGATGGTGTCAAGAGGAAGTAAAGTCCCTGCCATGAGAACACTAAAAATCAATTTTCCAAATTCCGACACTGGAGATGGTCTTAACGCACCGGCACCAATACAGTAGCCTATAATAAATATTATATATATAATAGGCTACGTAACATGTGTAATCACACACTTAGCGATATAGAACATAAATAATAAAAACGTAGGCCTACCTGGTTTAAAACACTTTTGTGGTCATACTGTGGAATGAGTTCACACTGAAACGAGTTCTTCATTCAAAATGTCGCGGGCAATTACACTGAACAAAAATATAAACGCAACACTTTTGTTTTTGCTCCCATTCTTCATGAGATGAACTCAAAGATTTAAAACATTTTCTATATACACAAAATAACCATTTCTCTCAAATGTTGTTCACAAATCTGAAAGAATCTGTGATAGTGAGCACTTCTCCTTTGCCGAGATAATCCATCCCACCTCACAGGTGTGGCATATCAAGATGCTGATTAGACAGCATGATTATTGCACAGGTGTGCCTTAGGCTGGCCACAATAAAAGGCCACTCTGAAACGTGCAGTTTTGCTTTATTGGGGGGATCTGGGGGGGGTCCGAAAACAAGTCAGTATCTCGTGTGAGGGGTAGGATTAGGATTAGGGTTAGGGGTAGGGTTAGGGTTAGGGTTAGGGTAATGTTGTGAATCGAGTGGCCTGTGTTCGTCGTCCATAACATACGCCTGCCCATACCATAACTCCACCACCACCATGGGCCACTCGATTCACAACATTACCCTAACACTAACCCTAACCCTACCCCTAACCCTAATCCTACCCCTCACACCAGATACTGACTGGTTTTCGGATTGATTGATTAATTGATTGAAAAGTGTATTAACAGCTTGTATATTGGGTACAGTAAAGTACAGCTCAAAACATACAATTGTTAAGGGGATGCAGACCAGAGAAAGACTTTCGTCTTGTTTACATCAGGGTCCCCCATTTCCAATTCATCATGTCATTTAAGACATATAAGACATATTTGACATACAGATGGCTTATTTACAATTTACATACAGGTGGTTTTTTACATACAGATTGCTTGTTTACAATTTTCATTTTAGATTTCGTTCTAATACATCCTAACCGGACATTTAAGACATACCAAGTCTACAGATATACAGTTAGTAACAGAGTCTAAAATGCGAGTATATACATAGATGGGGGGGGAAGCTGTCCATTGAACGACAGGTTGAGATTTGTACCATTACCGGGGCCAGTTTTGCAATGCTCTCCCCCGAAGGTGCTCTTTAAGAGAGGTTTTGAAGGTAAGTATAGTTTTACTTTCCTTTACAGTTGTGGGAAGAGCGTTCCACCTTGATGTGGCATAATTGCGAAACGTGTATTCCCCCTTTTTTGTGCCAAATCTGGGTTTCACATGATTTGTGGAGCTCCCTCTGGTGTTATGATCATGGTATTCCTTGACCTTTGGGAAGAATTTTGACATGTACATGGGTACCATAGAGGTGTAGTGGATCTTGTAGACCAGGCCCATTGCAAGTAGCTGTACTCTGTCGTCTACTCTAAGCCATCCTAGGTTGTCAAAGTGGGCAGAGGTGAGGTGGGTTCTAGATGAAAGGTCAAGCAGTAGTCTGACCAGTTTATATTGCGATGTTTGAAGTTTTATTTTTAGCGCCTTGGAGGTGCTATGGTACCATGACATGCAAGCATAGTCATAGTACCCTTGAATGAGTGCTCCTGCCAGAGTCTTCAGGGTGTTCTTGTTTACCAGAGAGGAGATCCGGTATAGGAATCTAGTTCTTTGATTGACTTTTTTTATTACATTGGATGCCATTTTGTCACAGAAGAGGTTTGCCTCAAGAATAGATCCTAGGTATGTAATTTCCTTCTTACTTGTGACAATAATGTCGCCCACTGCAACTGAGAAGTCGTCGGATTTGCTGAGATTATGTTTCGAACCGAAGAGAATGGACTCTGTTTTACCCAGGTGTAATGATAATTTATTATCGGCGAGCCAGGTGCAGATTCTGCCGAGCTCGGAGCTGAGGGTTTTTTCAATCTGCAACCTGTTCCTGTCAGAGACCAGCAGGGCTGAGTCGTCCGCGAACAGGAACAAGTTGCAGTCACATGCTGATGACATGTCATTTACATAAATTAGGAACAGTAACGGACCTAATATGCTTCCTTGTGGAACACCACAGCTCACTGGGAGGGGGGGGGGGCAGAGTACCGTTTACCTCCACCATCTGTTATCTCCCCTCCAGGTAGGATTGCATCCAGCTCACCGATAGTTTATCAAAACCAATTGCTCTTAGCTTGTCAATCAGAATGGGGTGATTGACAGTGTCGAAAGCCTTTTGTAGGTCCAGCATCACCATGCCGCAGTACTTGCCCTCGTCCACCTCTTGTTTGATGTGGTCGCTCAAATAAAAAAGGCATGTGTCAGTGGAGTGGGATGTTCTAAAGCCAGATTGAAATTCATAGATTAGTTTCTTTTCCGCGAGGTAATTTTCGACCTGTTCATATACTATTTTTTCCATGACTTTCGAGATGGAGGTAAGTATAGAAACAGGGCGGTAGTTGCCTGGGTCCAATTTGCTGCCCTTTTTGTGCAGGGGGGTTACTCTTGCAATTTTGAAGTCTTTGGGTACTTTTCCCTGTTTTATGGAGAGGTTAATTATGTGAGCTATGACTGGTGAGATGGCGGTTGCTGTGTCTCTGAGGAATTTGGAGGGGATATTGTCATGGCCAGTGGCCTTGTTAGGTTGGAGGGCGCTCAGTTTAATGAGTACCTCTGCTGTTGTTACCCTTGCTAGACTGAAATCATCTTTGCGTACCCCTAGGTTTGTGTAGTAGGTCAGGATGTGATCTACTCCAAAAAGCCCTGAGTGGGAGGGTAATTTATTTACAAGAGTTGTGGCTATGTTTGTGAAAAAAATGTTCAAGTACTTGGCCACATCCAGTTTGTCTGTGATGAGCCTGTTATCTGTCTTTATGTTTAAGTTAGAAAATCTCGTTTTGAGTTTTTTACTGCAGCCAAGCTGGTTATTGAGTAATTTCCAAAGTTCACAGGGTTTATTTTTGTTTTCCTCAGTTTTGACATTGATGAAATTCTTTTTAGCAGTTTTGATCATGGAGCTTACGTCATTTCTTAGTCTGTTTCTTTCAATTTTTAGTTCAGTCACGTGGGCCTGGAGTTCACTGCTCGTGCTTTTGGAAAGCATTGACTGACTTTTATGACCCCCCCAGACCCCCCCCAATAAAGCAAAAATGCACGTTTCAGAGTGGCCTTTTATTGTGGCCAGCCTAAGGCACACCTGTGCAATAATCATGCTGTCTAATCAGCATCTTGATATGCCACACCTGTGAGGTGGGATGGATTATCTCGGCAAAGGAGAAGTGCTCACCATCACAGATTCTTTCAGATTTGTGAACAATATTTGAGAGAAATGGTTATTTTGTGTATTTAGAAAATGTTTTAGATCTTTGAGTTCATCTCATGAAAAATGGGAGCAAAAACAAAAGTGTTGCGTTTATATTTTTGTTCAGTGTACATATAAGAAGAAGGAGAAGAAGAAGAAGTAAAATAAGTAGTAGAAGAAGAATGAAGCTGGTGTCTTTCCCGCAGCGAGACACTACAATACTAATTGTGGGCTTATCATGTTGATTCGACCACAACAGAAAGAAAAAAAAACATCTCGCTCTCTCCAGGGGGGCAGGTCAGCCAAAAAGGGGAAACGGGCCGTTGCTCAGGCAACAATAGCCCGTACCTGTGCATGTCCCTGTACATTAGAGCTCACAGTACTCTCTGTACTCTCTGTATACTACACTAGAGATCACAGTACTCTCTGTATACTACATTAGAGCTCACTGTACCCCCCTCCCCCCCCCCCCCCCCCCCCCCTGCAGGTATGCCAGTCTGTACTTCTGCTGTGCAATCGAGCCTCAGGACAACGAGCTCATCACGCTGGAGATCATCCACAGATACGTGGAGCTGCTGGACAAATACTTCGGCAGTGTGAGTTTCTCCTCTTGTTTCCACCTGGTCTCCTAGAGTCTACGTTCCCGTACAACATACCTGCATGAGAAGAGTGTGTTGTTCCTCTCTTTGATGTCTTAACACTGTCATCGGCATCAAGCTGGACCCCTTTGAAGCTGTGGTGGACACTGAACAGGCTGTTGTCCATCATGGTTAACCCCACCCATCCTCAGCGGAGCTCCTTCTCCAACAGACTGCTGCAGCTCCGCTGTCACAAGGACCGATACAGGAACACATTCCTGCCCACTGCAATAACTCTGTACAACAAATCACCTCTGGCTGGAATATAACTCTCTGCTCCATAGTTTCTCTTGGAATAAAATCACATTGTACATTTATATAATCTATTAAATATTGAATATTCCATCTGCCATATATTTATGTATATATAATACCTTGTTGAATTCAACATGTATATTTTCTACTTTCTTGTTTATTTCTAGTCTTTGAATTTGTATTGTACAATGCCATGTCTTTTTTATGCTGCTGCAACGCAAACATTTCCCAAATTGGGATCAATAAAGTACTATCTTATCTTCTTATCTTATCTTACTACTGCATGGGAAGAGTGTGTTGTTCCTCTCTTTGATGTGTTACTAGTTTCTGAAGTCCCAAAGCACAGGTCTTTGTTTCAAACAACAGCTGTTAGTTTGGTTGTAGGGCAGATTTCTGCCACATATTGATGAAAGTATTTCTCATTCATGATTCCTTCTTTTGTGCAGGTTTGTGAGCTGGACATTATTTTTAACTTCGAGAAGGCTTACTTCATCCTGGACGAGTTCCTGCTGGGCGGGGAAGCTCAGGAGACGTCCAAGAAGAACGTCCTGAAGGCCATCGAGCAGGCAGACCTGCTGCAGGAGGTCAGGACTCACACTCCATGTTTCAATGCTTCATCATGTTCTAATGCTTCATCACGCTTCATCCTGCTTCATCATGTTTCAATGCTTCATCCTGCTTCATCATGTTTCAATGCTTCATCATGTTTCAATGCTTCATCCTGCTTCATCATGTTTCAATGCTTCATATTGTTTCAATGCTTCATCCTGTTTCAATGCTTCATCTTGTTTCAATGCTTCATCCTGTTTCAATGCTTCATCTTGTTTCAATGCTTCATCCTGTTTCAATGCTTCATCCTGCTTCATCATGTTTCAATGCTTCATCCTGTTTCAATGCTTCATCTTGTTTCAATGCTTCATCCTGTTTCAATGCTTCATCCTGCTTCATCATGTTTCAATGCTTCATCCTGCTTCATCATGTTTCAATGCTTCATCATGTTTCAATGCTTCATCATGTTTCAATGCTTCATCATGTTTCAATGCTTCATCTTGTTACAATGCTTCATCATGTTTCAATGCTTCATCCTGTTTCAATGCTTCATCATGTTTCAATGCTTCATCCTGTTTCAATGCTTCATCATGTTTCAATGCTTCTCATGTTTCATAGTTTCAATGCTTCATCATGTTTCAATGCTTCATCTTGTTTCAATGCTTCATCCTGTTTCAATGCTTCATCCTGCTTCATCATGTTTCAATGCTTCATCCTGTTTCAATGCTTCATCTTGTTTCAATGCTTCATCCTGTTTCAATGCTTCATCCTGCTTCATCATGTTTCAATGCTTCATCCTGCTTCATCATGTTTCAATGCTTCATCATGTTTCAATGCTTCATCATGTTTCAATGCTTCATCTTGTTACAATGCTTCATCATGTTTCAATGCTTCATCCTGTTTCAATGCTTCATCATGTTTCAATGCTTCATCCTGTTTCAATGCTTCATCATGTTTCAATGCTTCATCATGTTTCATCATGTTTCAATGCTTCATCTTGTTTCAATGCTTCATCTTGTTTCAATGCTTCATCATGTTTCAATGCTTCATCATGTTTCAATGCTTCATCTTGTTTCAATGCTTCATCTTGTTTCAATGCTTCATCATGTTTCAATGCTTCATCATGTTTCAATGCTTCATCATGTTTCAATGCTTCATCCTGTTTCAATGCTTCATCATGTTTCAATGCTTCATCCTGTTTCAATGCTTCATCATGTTTCAATGCTTCATCATGTTTCAATGCTTCATCATGTTTCATCATGTTTCAATGCTTCATCTTGTTTCAATGCTTCATCGTGTTTCAATGCTTCATCATGTTTCAATGTTTCATCTTGTTTCAATGCTTCATCATGTTTCAATGCTTCATCTTGTTTCAATGCTTCATCGTGTTTCAATGCTTCATCATGTTTCAATGCTTCATCATGTTTCAATGTTTCATCATGTTTCAATGCTTCATCTTGTTTCAATGCTTCATCGTGTTTCAATGCTTCATCATGTTTCAATGTTTCATCATGTTTCAATGCTTCATCTTGTTTCAATGCTTCATCATGTTTCAATGCTTCATCATGTTTCAATGTTTCATCATGTTTCAATGCTTCATCTTGTTTCAATGCTTCATCGTGTTTCAATGCTTCATCCTGTTTCAATGTTTCATCATGTTTCAATGCTTCATCATGTTTCATCATGTTTCAATGCTTCATCATGTTTCATCATGTTTCAATGCTTCATCATGTTTCATCATGTTTCAATGCTTCATCATGTTTCATCATGTTTCAATGCTTCATCCTGTTTCATCTTGTTTCAATGCTTCATCATGTTTCAATGTTTCATCCTGTTTCATCATGTTTCAATGCTTCATCCTGTTTCAATGCTTCATCGTGTTTCAATGCTTCATCCTGTTTCAATGCTTCATCCTGTTTCAATGCTTCATCCTGCTTCATCTTGTTTCAATGCTTCATCCTGTTTCAATGCTTCATCCTGTTTCAATGCTTCATCATGTTTCAATGCTTCATCATGTTTCATCATGTTTCAATGCTTCATCCTGTTTCAATGTTTCATCATGTTTCATCCTGTTTCAATGCTTCATCGTGTTTCAATGCTTCATCCTGTTTCAATGTTTCATCATGTTTCAATGCTTCATCATGTTTCATCATGTTTCATCCTGCTTCAATGCTTCATCCTGCTTCATCTTGTTTCAATGCTTCATCTTGTTTCAATGCTTCATCTTGTTTCAATGCTTCATCATGTTTCAATGTTTCATCCTGTTTCATCATGTTTCAATGCTTCATCCTGTTTCAATGTTTCATCATGTTTCAATGCTTCATCCTGTTTCAATGCTTCATCATGTTTCAATGCTTCATCATCTTTCAATGCTTCATCATGTTTCAATGCTTCATCATGTTTCAATGTTTCATCCTGTTTCAATGCTTCATCCTGTTTCAATGCTTCATCCTGTTTCAATGCTTCATCATGTTTCAATGCTTCATCCTGTTTCAATGCTTCGTCTTGTTTCAATGCTTTATCCTGTTTCAATGCTTCATCCTGTTTCAATGCTTCATCCTGTTTCAATGCTTCATCATGTTTCAATGCTTCATCCTGTTTCAATGCTTCATCATGTTTCAATGCTTTATCCTGTTTCAATGCTTCATCCTGTTTCAATGCTTCATCATGTTTCAATGCTTTATCCTGTTTCAATGCTTCATCATGTTTCAATGCTTCATCATGTTTCAATGCTTCATCCTGTTTCAATGCTTCATCATGTTTCAATGCTTCATCATGTTTCAATGCTTCATCCTGTTTCAATGCTTCATCATGTTTCAATGCTTCATCATGTTTCAATGCTTCATCTTGTTTCAATGCTTCATCCTGTTTCAATGCTTCATCATGTTTCAATGCTTTATCCTGTTTCAATGCTTCATCCTGTTTCAATGCTTCATCATGTTTCAATGCTTTATCCTGTTTCAATGCTTCATCATGTTTCAATGCTTCATCATGTTTCAATGCTTTATCCTGTTTCAATGCTTCATCATGTTTCAATGCTTTATCCTGTTTCAATGCTTCATCTTGTTTCAATGCTTCATCCTGTTTCAATGCTTCATCCTGTTTCAATGCTTCATCATGTTTCATCATGTTTCAATGTTTCATCCTGTTTCAATGCTTCATCATGTTTCAATGCTTCATCCTGTTTCAATGCTTCATCATGTTTCAATGCTTCATCCTGTTTCAATGCTTCATCTTGTTTCAATGCTTCATCCTGTTTCAATGCTTCATCCTGTTTCAATGTTTCATCGTGTTTCAATGCTTCATCATGTTTCAATGCTTCATCCTGTTTCAATGCTTCATCCTGTTGCAATGCTTCATCCTGTTTCAATGCTTCATCATGTTTCATCATGTTTCAATGCTTCATCCTGTTTCAATGCTTCATCATCTTTCAATGCTTCATCCTGTTTCAATGCTTCATCCTGTTTCAATGTTTCATCCTGTTTCAATGCTTCATCCTGTTTCAATGCTTCATCATGTTTCATCATGTTTCAATGCTTCATCCTGTTTCAATGCTTCATCATCTTTCAATGCTTCATCATGTTTCAATGCTTCATCCTGTTTTCAATGCTTCATCCTGTTTCAATGCTTCATCCTGTTTCAATGCTTCATCCTGTTTCAATGCTTCATCATGTTTCAATGCTTCATCATGTTTCAATGTTTCATCCTGTTTCAATGCTTCATCCTGTTTCAATGCTTCATCCTGTTTCAATGCTTCATCCTGTTTCAATGCTTCATCATGTTTCAATGCTTCATCCTGTTACATATGCTTCATCATGTTTTCAATGCTTCATCCTGTTTCAATTGCTTCGTCTTGTTTCTAATGCTTCATCATGTTTCAATGCTTCATCCTGTTTTCAATGCTTCATCAATGTTTCAATGTTTCATCCTGGTTTCATATGCTTCATTCATGTTTCAATGCTTCATCCTGTTTCAATGCTTCGTCTTGTTTCAATGCTTCATCATGTTTCATCCTGTTTCAATGCTTCATCATGTTTCAATGCTTCATCCTGTTTCAATGCTTCATCATGTTTCAATGCTTTATCCTGTTTCAATGCTTCATCCTGTTTCAATGCTTCATCCTGTTTCAATGCTTCATCATGTTTCATCATGTTTCAATGCTTCATCCTGTTTCAATGCTTCATCATGTTTCAATGCTTCATCCTGTTTCAATGCTTCATCTTGTTTCAATGCTTCATCCTGTTTCAATGCTTCATCCTGTTTCAATGTTTCATCGTGTTTCAATGCTTCATCATGTTTCAATGCTTCATCCTGTTTCAATGCTTCATCCTGTTGCAATGCTTCATCCTGTTTCAATGCTTCATCATGTTTCATCATGTTTCAATGCTTCATCCTGTTTCAATGCTTCATCCTGTTTCAATGCTTCATCCTGTTTCAATGTTTCATCCTGTTTGAATGCTTCATCCTGTTTCAATGCTTCATCATGTTTCAATGCTTCATCATGTTTCATCATGTTTCAATGCTTCATCATGTTTCAATGCTTCATCATGTTTCAATGCTTCATCCTGTTTCAATGCTTCATCCTGTTTCAAGGCTTCATCATTGCACACCAACTTTCCCATCAGCCAAACCTAAAACACATATTCCTGATATTTTGTTCGTCTCTTCATCAACTTTAGTTGGAAATAAGATTTCCCTTCAGAAACAGCTGCTTTATTTCTGTTGATTTGTCTTCTCTTTGCTTGTTGTCTTTGGTTTAGTTAAAGGAATTGCAGCTCACTGTTTCTCTGCCTGTCTCCTCTTTCCTGTGATTTTCAGAACATAGACTTTCAGATGCGCCTGTTTGCAGGTACAGTTTCTAGAAACCTAGATACCCCTGCTTTAGTGCTACATCAGTAGATCCACCAATCAGTAGTCATTACCATCAGTAGATCCACCAATCAGAAGTCAATACCATCAGTAGATCCACCAATCAGCTGTCAGTACCATCAGTAGATCCACCAATTAGCTGTCAGTACCATCAGTATAGCCACCAATCAGAAGTCAGTACCATCAGTAGATCCAACAATCAGCTGTCAGTACCATCAGTAGATCCACCAATCAGAAGTCAGTACCATCAGTAGATCCACCAATCAGCTGTCAGTACCATCAGTAGATCCACCAATCAGAAGTCAGTACCATCAGTTGATCCACCAATCAGCTGTCAGTACCATCAGTAGATCCACCAATCAGAAGTCAGTACCATCAGTAGATCCACCAATCAGCTGTCAGTACCATCAGTAGATCCACCAATCAGCTGTCAGTACCATCAGTATATCCACCAATCAGAAGTCAGTACCATCAGTTGATCCACCAATCAGCTGTCAGTACCATCAGTAGATCCACCAATCAGAAGTCAGTACCATCAGTAGATCCACCAATCGGCTGTCAGTACCATCAGTAGATCCACCAATTAGCTGTCAGTACCATCAGTATATCCACCAATCAGAAGTCAGTACCATCAGTAGATCCACCAATCAGCTGTCAATACCATCAGTAGATCCACCAATCAGAAGTCAGTACCATCAGTAGATCCACCAATCAGTAGTCAGTACCATCAGTAGATCCACCAATCAGAAGTCAGTACCATCAGTAGATCCACCAATCAGTAGTCAGTACCATCAGTAGATCCACCAATCATAAGTCAGTACCATCAGTAGATCCACCAATCAGTAGTCAGTACCATCAGTTGATCCACCAATCAGCTGGCAGTACCATCAGTTGATCCACCAATCAGCTGTCAGTACCATCAGTAGATCCACCAATCAGTAGTCAGTACCATCAGTTGATCCACCGATCAGCTGTCAGTACCATCAGTAGATCCACCAATCAGAAGTCAGTACCATCAGTTCAATCAGGAGAGACGTGATGTATGGAATACATGTTTATTATCGGTCACATTATATAAATGAAACATAATGATGACAGTTCATGACAAGTGAATGAAATGGTGTTTTGGCGATTAGGCCCAGGTTTTGTAGGATATCAATCGGGAAGGGAAGAACCGTTTCCGATGAACCCCCCTGGGTCTAGACACTGGTGGTGGTGATAAGTGGTTAGGTCCGGTTGGAAGGGAGAAGGTTAATCAATCAATCAATCAATGTCTATTTACATAGCCCAACATCACAAATGCTACATTTGTCTCAGTGGACTTTACAGTTTGTACAAAATATCAGTATGACAATACGACACCCTCTGTCCTTAGACCCTCACATCGTACAAGGAAAAACTCCCGGAGAAAACCCACAGTTTAAAGGGAAAAATGGGAGAAACCTCAGGGAGAGCAACAGAGGAGGGATCCCTCTCCCAGGACGGACAAACGTGCAATAGATGCCGTGTGTACATTGAAAAGATAATACATTTGCAACATAGGTAGTCCAAATGTTTGGAAATGCATGTGTGTATAATGATAATAAGCTTGGTCCTGAGTTGAAGCAGGAGGCGAAGGGGTGGAGGAGGGTTGCGCGTTGACACCTGGAAGACAGCTGATAGGAAAGGGGAGAGCATATATAGAGGGATTAACAGGTGCGATGATTAGGCTTGTAAATGGAGGGGAGTGATAGGTTAGCTGAGGAGTGGCGCTCCCTCTCATTTAGATGCAGGGAGCGAGTATTGCCATGACGTGCAATACGGAGTGATAGGTCTTCCTGTCTGAACTTGCGCTAAGCTTCATTAGATCCACCAATCAGTAGTCAGTTCCATTAACAACATTTTCATTAGTGTAATTTAGTAATTTATTTAAACTTGTCAAATATTTTGGCATGTAGGTTAAGTGGAATAAAAGAAACAATCATGTTGTTATTAAAGACAACGATAGTTGCCGTCCTTTAAAAAGCATAACCCTAACGCTCAAGTTTAATTTCTTTGGGATGGGGGGGGTTAGGGTTCCAGGAAAACATACCTCAGGGGATTAGGTGGAGTTATTTTAATCAGCCTTGAATGAAACAGGAGCTGCTGGTGATAAGCATATCGTCTTATAGCAATGAAAGAAAAGCAGCTTCCTGCTGCTCTTCTCTTGACTTCCTGTCCTCATATCAACATGTTTGCCTCTCAGGTGTGATGGTCCCAAATCTGGTCTCTGAGTCCTCTGGGCTTTTCCAGAACTAGGCCTGCGGAGGTGAATACTGTGTGTTTGTGACGTAGGCCTGTAGTCAGACTAGTCAACTGTGAATGGACAGCCCATAATATATGTTGTGTTGGAGACAGCGTGTGTATCAGTGTGTGTTTGGATCCCCTGTGTAACATTTATTAAGCTCCTACTCAACCAGATGTTCTTATCTTTCCTGTTCGTATAGATCTGCCATTCGGAGAGGAGACACTTCAATAAGCAGTGAAACAAAAAAGTGGGGGGTGGATATAACCATGTCATGTTGTACCAGGTGGATGTAACCACGTCATGTTGTACCAGGTGGATGTAACCACGTCATGTTGTACCAGGTGGATGTTACCAGGTGGAGGTAACCACGTCATGTTGTACCAGGTGGATGTAACCACGTCATGTTGTACCATGTGGATGTTACCAGGTGGATGTAACCACGTCATGTTGTACCAGGTGGATGTAACCATGTCATGTTGTACCAGATGGATGTAACCACGTCATGTTGTACCATGTGGATGTAACCACGTCATGTTGTACCAGGTGGATGTAACCACGTCATGTTGTACAAGGTGGATGTAACCACGTCATGTTGTACCAGGTGGATGTAACCACGTCATGTTGCACCAGGTGGATGTTACTAGGTGGATGTAACCACGTCATGTTGTACCAGGTGGATGTAACCACGTCATGTTGCACCAGGTGGATGTAACCACGTCATGTTGTACCATGTGGATGTTAACAGGTGGATGTAACCACGTCATGTTGCACCAGGTGGATGTAACCACGTCATGTTGTACCATGTGGATGTTAACAGGTGGATGTAAGCACGTCATGTTGCACCAGGTGGATGTAACCACGTCATGTTGTACCAGGTGGATGTAACCACGTCATGTTGCACCAGGTGGATGTAACCACGTCATGTTGTACCATGTGGATGTTACCAGGTGGATGTAACCAGGTCATGTTGTACCAGGTGGATGTAACCACGTCATGTTGTACCAGGTGGATGTAACTACGTCATGTTGCACCAGGTGGATGTAACCACGTCATGTTTACCAGGTGGATGTAACCACGTCATGTTGCACCAGGTGGATGTAACCAGGTCATGTTGCACCAGGTGGATGTAACCATGTCATGTTGTACCATGTGGATGTTACCAGGTGGATGTAACCAGGTCATGTTGTACCAGGTGGATGTAACCACGTCATGTTGTACCAGGTGGATGTAACTACGTCATGTTGCACCAGGTGGATGTAAGCACGTCATGTTGCACCAGGTGGATGTAACCACGTCATGTTGTACCATGTGGATGTTAACAGGTGGATGTAAGCACGTCATGTTGCACCAGGTGGATGTAACCACGTCATGTTGTACCAGGTGGATGTAACCACGTCATGTTGTACTAGGTGGATGTAACCACGTCATGTTGCACCAGGTGGATGTTACCAGGTGGATGTAAACAGGTCATGTTGCA